CAGCCACAGCCAGACCTGGGGGCAGGCAGTGGGGGCACGGGTGGGGGTGCCACAACTTTCCCGCAGGAGCTGAGGAGGAAGAGGGAAGAAGACACCTCTCCGTGCTCCAAGCATGGCAGAGAGGACAGCCTTCGGGGGCTCCCCCTCCTCTCCATAAAGCCTCATTTCTTTCAGCATCGGCTCCTATGACTCCCCTTAACTGGCCTCAGCTTCCTTTGTCTCTACCTCTTCGTGCTTCTGTTTTCTCATCTGTAAACTGGGGACAACGCTCGTGCCTGCAAAAGAAAGTTGTGCGTGTAAAATGCTTAGCGCCCTGCTTGGCACCTGATAAACAAAATCAGTGTCGTCAATGCCATTATTATTTCTGTTACTGGTGGTCCTACTCTACCATTTCTGCTACGAGCTGTTCCTCTTACCCACCTGCCTACCCTCAGGCGAGTTGGCGTTTTCTTTTCCTTTCTTCATTTTTAATCTCACCAATGAGTCTCCTACGATCCTGTTGTTTTGAAGTCCTCTGGCTGTACAACCTTGGCATTCTCTGAGGAGTCACCCACATTACTTAGAAGCTTCTGGGGACACGGCAGCACTGCTTGGCCCCCAGTGCTGGGACCTGTGGTGAGGGGTGTTCCCAGCCCCGAGCCTACCTGGGACGGGTGCTCCAGGTGCAGGGCCCACCGACAGGGGCGTCTGTCCTCTATCCCGGGGGTTTGGTGGCAGTCAGCACTCACTGCTGCAGAGGAGCCTCTTGGAAAACACTCGGCAAAAAGATACCTAGGATGTTGACAAAAATCAGGGTCCATCAGGGTCAGGACATCTAGTGACTACGTGAAAACGCTGAAAGGCAGCCACAAAAGAGAAGGTCTCTGATGAAGTTGTGCCCTCATGCCCTGCTGCCCTTGTCTGTCAGCTGTCTGCTTCCTGGCTTTCTGAAACCCTGGTGACAAACACGTAACCATCAGAGGATCTCTCACAGGGCTTGCCTTGCCTCTGCTGCTCCCTGTCAGCGATCTGGGCCTCCCTCGGGGCCAGGGGCTGAGGCTGCTAGAGAAAGTTCAGGTGACTCAACTGCAGCCAGGTCAGCGGGCAAGGGATTGGCCCTGAGCCTGTCTCTCCTGGATGCCATGCTCAGGCCCAGACCCGAGGCTGTGCAGAGAGGCTGGAAAAGGCCAGAGGATGGAGATTGTCCAGGGGGCAGGAGGAATATGCTCAGCTCTGGATGGGGACCTCCTGCACAGACTCTTGTTTCCCATCCCACCAGGACAAACCAAGGAAGCAGCTTTTGCCTCCCAAACCAGGTACCAGTCCCTGGCATTGCTGCCTCCGACTACCTGTGAGGTCTTGAGCTCTCCTTCTGATCTCCCAGGCCTCGATGGCCTTATGCATAGGGAGGAAGGTGAATGGATGACTTGTAAGTTCCCTTGCCTTGCCAGCACTCTGTGAGATTCAGAGATACATGATTTGGCATCTGTGGCCTTTGTCCTGGGCAGTGGCCCACCTGTGTGCTGTGTCTTCTGTGGTCGCTGTGGAAGGCTGAGCATGGAGGAGAAATGCATTTTTTTTTTTTTTTTTTTTTGCTTTCAATTGAGGCATTTTTCCCCCTGAGTATCATGCAGCCTGTAGTGTTTAAGGACTCGGAATATTTAGCCGCTTCTCTTGAGCTCAGAGCCTGGCCTGTCAACATCAGCAGGAGGTGAAGGGAAAAGTTTTTGGAGCTGTTAATCCTGTATGAGCAGCAAAGAATGTGGCTTCATTTCTGTTCCAGGCATTTCTGCTTTTACACTGGGCTTAGTTAAAAATGACAGAATGGAAAAAAAAAATGAACTGCTTTAAGAGTTAATTTTGCAATGCCTCCATAAATAACTAGACTAGTTTGTGCGTATGTGTAAGTCTTTTTTTTTTTTTTTTTTTTTGGAGACAGATTCTTTGTTCTGTTGCCCCAGCTAGAGTGCAGTGGCATCATCGTAGCTCACAGCAACCTCAAACTCCTGGGTTCAAGTGATACTCCTGCCTCAGTCTCCCGAGTAGCTGGCACTACAGGCTTGTCCACTACACCCAGCTAATTTTTTCTATTTTTAGTAGAGACAGTGTCTCGCTCTTGCTCAGGCTGGTCTCGAACTCCTGAGCTCAAGCAGTCCTCCCACCTCAGCCTCCCAGAGTGCTAAGATTACAGGTGTGAGCCACTGACCCCTTAAAGTATATCTCGATGCCCTATTTTGCTGCCTTACATTTGTTAGGATAAACTGGGCCTTACTTGAAAACAGTATTTCAAACGACTTTCTCTACAACTAAAATCCACTGAATAAAAGTGAATTCCTGTTTTAGAAAAACATGACACTTCTCAACCCATTGCTTCGTAAGCCTGCTTTGGTGAATGTGGTCCTCTTCCTACTGGATATTTATTGAGTGTGCAGAAGAAGGAAGGGGCAGTGAAGGAGCAGGAAAATACTTTCAGAGGGAAACTCACTTTCCCTGTCAATGCACTGTATGCCGTAAGCAAAAGCATCAGTTTCATGGCTCTTCCCAACCATCACCTTGCTCTTGGCAAATTCATAAAGTATCCTTGTATAGCAGAGAAAAGCTCTTCTTCTGGCTGGCTTCCTCTATCGCCTGCCTTCCTCAACACAACAGGAGGCTCCGGGAGGTCTAGCTAGCAGGCTGAGGCTCTGAGTATTGGCTGCCAACTCGAACTAGCCTCACCTGTGTACCTGGGCAATCGGAAAAGCCAAAGAAACCCTGAACCAGAGGGGCAACATGGAAGTACTGCTGTTCATAATCTGAACTTCTGTCAATTGAAATATTTTCCCTGCTTGGGGTGGAGCCTCCTCGATGGGGCCACTTACTCTCTAAGTTATATATTTCATAAGGTTATATTTTTATGCCTGGTGTAATCAGTTTCCCTTAGAGGAGAAAATCTGTAAATAGATCATCACTACAGGCTAGGTAAATCCCATGGTGTATATAATCTGCTCTCTGTTTACTGATTGCTCACCTGGCCTCCAACACATACAACAACATAATTTCTCAGGGCCTTGTGTATTTTCCCTTTAGGGTCTGTTTACTCTAGTTGCTGGGACCTCACTTTGGTGGTTGGCTGGATGCAGGGACTTTTTGACGTTGAGCCATGTGTTCCTTCTCATCTGGCTTCTGAGGACCAGAGTACCTTTCTCAAGGAGCCTGCCTAAGACCCTCCCTGCTTTTCCAACCCCTTCAAAGGCCAGCTTAAACTTGTTCCTTCTGCACCAAGCCCTCTTCAACTAAAATCAAGTGAGGTGGGCAATTCAGCTAGCTCTTTTGCTGGTGTGGCACAGCACTGCAGATTTCAAAAATCACCTCTATGCTCTAGAAACATACGTGTATATCCTTAAGCTTTGTGCCTGTAGAATACACTGCCCTCCCATAGGCAGATGTTGAGAGGTCTGACTTTGCATTAGGGACACCATAAAATTATCTGCTGTCCATTTCATCCTACAGGACTCCTTAATGCCCGCTGATGCTATTGTTTTTAGGATGTAAACTCTTTATAAGGCACAAGTCTGCTAATCTTGCCAGGCACAATGGCCAATAAGATGCTAAATGTAGGCAGATAAATGTTTTGATGGCACCCACAACGGCCCTGCATATTCTTGTTAAATTTATTCATAATCTTCGGTGTTTCTAGAAAGCATGACAGACTGTGATTTTCTAAGTAAAATAAAAAATTACATACATGTAGTGTTACCTTTTCTATGTGGCTGGAGTGCTTGTCCCAGTTTACGAGTAGAGACAGGAGGGAAGATGAAAGCCTCCGCCCCCTTGCTTTTCTGCCCTGTAGCTTTCTGCTCCTTTTAGAGATAATTTTCGGAATGATGGTGGCATCTAGGTGCTGGAGTTGGGACCATGGGAGGAATTGTTTAGTTCTAATCTCCTAGAAATTTTTTTCAAGGAGAACCTGATTTGGTTTTGATTTCATTGTTGATTTTCACTTTTCTTTCTGTCCTTTGTCAAGATGCAAGGTAAGCAAGGACAGGCATTGAGTAAACCGAAGGCCACAATTCAAATCTGCTTATTATAAAAGCGTGTGACTTTGCTGGTGGCAGAGTGTAGGAAGAAGGAGAAATCCTTGCCTGGAATGGGTTGGTGCACAGAGCCACTTTCTCTCATGTCCTCCCCTACTTCCCCCTTAAGGAGATAGACATAGCCATGGGGGGTGCAATTTAATCTCCCCAGCACCCTCCCGCCACGTGTTCCAAAGTGAGTCCTCATTTTCTCTAAATGTATGTACATGCCTCAGATAAACCAACGTAGATAAAATTGACTAAGTCATCTTATCTGGGTTTTAATTTTCCCCAGGTGAAAGGGGACGGGTGCATTGCTCCTCCCCTACGCCCCTACATTTAAACAGTGGTTGGATTTCATTAATAACTACGAAATATTTAAATATTGCACATGAACAAGTCAACATTCCAAATTCTTCTTAACATCACCAGTAGGACAGGAAGAGCTTTCTTTACCTCTTATAAAGAATGAAATGACATCCGAAGTCATAATTTCAAAGGAGACAACCTCAACCTTATTTCAGCTTGAGGGTGGGCAGAGGGAAGTTTATACTTGGGCAATGTTGTTTAAGCTTCTGTCCCTTAAGATAGAAAAGGTGGATTTCTTAGAAAGATGTTGAGATATAAAATAATTGTATGATAAAGGTATTGCTTAACCCATTTCTCAGGGGGAGAAGTTGTAGTTAGAAGAGACTTATTCTCAAAGCTTGGCTAAGAACTAATTCCTGGAATTGTCTCCTTTCCTTCTCTGACCCACCCACCCACTCACCTACAGTCCTCACATTTCCTGTTGATGCCTGAACTTGAACTACAGCTGCCTGTTCATTGGATTATTTTACAAATTCGGAAATCAGGTTTTAAAATGTGGAACCCCAGTCATTTAACTACTAATCTTCACCCCGAGGTTCTGAATCCAGTAGGGTACCAGGACTTTTTAAATTAACAAACAAAACAGACGAAAAATGTAAAAATCAGACTTTAAATGTTTTATTTTGTTGATTCTGTACAATGCAAGGAAACAAAGTTAGAGATAAAATAAAATGCCAGTTAAATTCGGCTACTACCAACAACCAAAAACCTTAAACATAAAAATCAAAGCAAGCTGCTGAAATATCATAATATAATCTTGGGTAACGTAATTTGTTAACGCCTGTCACAAATCAAAACCGGCCACCTATGTGGTTCTTCAACTGCAAAGCCGAGAGAAGCTAGACCTGCGCAGCGCTGGTTAAAGGACGCTTCGCGCTAAGGAACTGCGCGGTCCCCGCCGTCGCCACCGCAGCTGGATGCGCTGAGCTGCTGGCGGTTTAGGGCTCCACGTCCTCCTTCATGCCTTTTAATGTGAACGTTAATTAGCGATCTTGACTGGACAGGCGACTGCGAATGCCTTGTTACCTATTTTAGTAAATCGGGAACACCGTTGTCGTGAAAGGTGGTTGGGTTTTGTTTTAAGCAAGCTCAAATGTTGGTTATGCGACCTTGGGGAAAGGGAGACGAAAAGGTGAATCTCGAGTTCTAAGTTGCATTTCTAAGAAGACCCCAGGATTTGAGTGAATATTCTCCGTTACAAAACGCCAGATCACGCGAGTCTCAAATATAGCGCTCTAAACAGCGGGTCACCAAAAGCGGACCGACTTCCCAACCCACCACGCCCAACGACCCTGCCGTTGTCATCGTCCCCACCCACTGCACCGCCACCCCAACCGTTTGGCTGCCGAGGGTCCATCTGCCTGCCACGTCCCGGACGGTGTGCACCGACTAACTGGTCTTTCTCAGCCTCTTGAGGTCCGGCAGCCTCCTCTGGCAGGGCTTGGCCGGCGGGAACGAGGGCGCCTGTGGCCTCCCGCTGGGGACAGGGAAAGAACCACCCCGTCGCCCCCGCCGCCATTCAAGCGCGATCCCTCGGCCTGGCAGCGGACGTGCTCGGGTCCCAGGAGGTCGCCCTCGGGGCTGGTCTCTCTCCACACCTAGGGCGAATCAAACCCACCGCACGGAGCCCTAAAATCCACACCAGCCCCACGAAGCGCGCGACTCCAGGGATAGGGAGAGAGACGCACCGGGTGAGAGTAAGGGGGTCGCTCACTTTCTGCCCCAAAGCAGCTGGAATCGACCCAGAACCCCAAATAGCCCCAGAGCGGCATCGAACATCCGCTCGGGTCACTTTAACTTTCCGGGAGTGGGGGCAGGGAAGGGGGCGCCCCACAGTCCCTTCCTCTGGACCAGAAGGTTCGCAATGCCCTCCTTTTTCGGCCCCGCTCTCCCTGGACGCAGGGCGCAGGGGCGCGGAGAAGCTGGGCGGCGGGAGCCCGGGCCGAGGTCGCGCCCCGGCCCGGCAGGCCCTCACTTGGAGAACTGCGCCTGCACGGCGGCCAGGCCCAGGCCGGCGGGGAGCAGGTGCGGGAACTTGCACACGGCGCAGGTGCACAGGCCAGGGCCGCCCGCGCCGCCGCCGGGGAGCGCGAACTGGCCGCACGGCGGCTCGTCGAGCGCCAGCGACAAGTACTTGGCGGGGCGCAGCGCGTCCGGGGGTCCCACGGCGCCGGGCGCCAGCAGCACGGAGCCGGGAGCGGCGGCGAGCAGGGGCAGGCCGGCCAGCAGCAGACGCGGCGCGGCGGGTCCTGCGCCCTCGCCCAGCGCGCGGCGCAGCTCCTGCAGCGAGCTGCCCAGCAGCAGGATGTAGTTGCGGGCGAGCAGCAGCGTGGCGATCTTGGAGAGCTTGCGGCCCGGCGCGCCCTGGCAGTGCGCCGCTGAGTAGGGCAGGATGACCTCGCGCAGCGCGTCCATGGCCAGGTTCAGGTCCTGCATGCGCTTCCGCTCGCGGCTGTTGATCTTGCGCCGCAGCTGCTGCTGCTGCTCCTCCTTGGCGTCCGCCCGGGCGCTGCCGCCCGCGTGCGCGCCCGATCCGGGCCCCGCGCCTGGCAGCTCGGCTGGCGCCTCCGGCTTCTCGCGAGCAGCCTTGGGGAGGAGGGGGACCGTCGTGGAGGAGGAGGAAGTGGAGGAGGAGGAAGAAGAGGAGGAGGGCGGCTGCCGGTAGCCCACCAGCTCGTAGAGGGAGGCCCCGAGCTGCAAGTCGCCGGGCCGCTGTGGCCGCAGCATGGTCCCGGGGGCCGCGTTCACGCGCGCCTGGGAAACCGCATAGTACATCTGGGGGGCACTGGGGGCGGCCGAGGGCGTCCTTCAGGAACGCCCCGGGGTGCCCGTTGGCAGGCCGCCCCTCCCCGCGGACCTGCGCGCGGGGAGCCGATGGTGGGGCACCGGACCGCGCCCGACCCCTTTAAACCCGGCTTGGGAACCTGCGGGGCCGCGGGCGGCGGGTCGCAGCCAATAGAGGCGCGAGGCCGGGCGCAGGCGTGTGATCATTGGTTGCCTGCGCCTCGGCCGGCGCGGAGGTGCCCCTGGCACCGCTCAAGGAGGTTATTGTGAGCGCCTGTGCCAGTGTCGCAGGACAGGGCCCGGCAGCGGAGGGAGGGCGCCTTTTAGGGCGAAGCGTGCTGTTCAAGGAGGACTGGTGGCATTGCTCAGGCTAAGACTCGTGTGCCTCCCTCCAGCTCCTCTCTGCCTCAACTTTTCTTTTTAATATATAGATTGTTTTTTAAAAAAATTGTGATCAAATATTCATAGCATAAAATTTACCATCTTAATCATTTTTTAGAGTCCAGTTCAGCAGTGTTAAATACACTTAGGTTGTTGTGCAACCAAACTCCAGAGCACTCTTCATATTGCAAACCTGAAACTCTAGACTCTAAACTCCCCATCTCCTTCCCCCAGCTCCTGGCAACCACCATTCTGTTCTGTCTCTGTGTATTTGTTCTGCTCAGGTAGGTTCTCATTTAAGTAGGGTCATACAATGTTTGTCTTTTAGTGACTGGCTTCACTTAGCATAATGTCTTCAAAGTGCATCCATGTTGTAGCATGTATCAGAATGTTCTTCCTTGTTAAGGCTGAATAATATTCCATTGTATGGATATACCACATTTTGTTTATCCATTCATTCATGGGTGGACACTTGAGTTGCTTCCACCTTTTGGCTATTGTGAATATGCTAGTATGGAACATTTTCTTTTGAATACGTGATTTCCTTCCAGGTTCAGAGAACTAAATTTCTGGGCTAAATGACCATAGCATTAGAATGGCTACTCCCTGCCACTCCCTCCTCCCCCTAGTCTCTCTGATAGAAAGGTTTTTATGGACAAACAAGCCCTTGGGGTCGAGTTTCTCTGCTCCCCAAAAGGGACGTGTGTTCATTCTATCAGAAACTCTACTCTTGGTTAAGCAAAACTCACTCAGAAATTGGCCTCTTATCATAAACAAAACAAAACACCTACATAGTCCTATCTGTTGAGGGTGGGACTGAATCTTTTTCTTCCCCAAATAAAACAGCATTACTAGGTGGCTATGGACGTTTTCTACCGCCAACATCAGTGCATACTGCTGCAACTTGTCATCAGAACATTGCAGAATGTACTGGGGGAAGAGGACCTTTTGATATTTAAACCTCTACTATCCAGTATGGTGGCCACTAGCCACTTGGGTGTTTAAATGAAAATTAATTAAAATTAAGTTAAAAATTGAGTTCTCCAGTTGCACTAGCGTTGGTTCAGGTGCTTAGTAGTCACAGGTGGCCAGTGGCTATCTACGGACAGCACAGACATAGAACATTTTCTTCATCGCAGAAAGTTCCACTGGACAATGCTAACCTAGAGTGTAACACACAAAAAATGAGCTTCCTCCATCTAAGGGCTGCCTGGTCTGAGAAGAGAGACACTGCTGAAGGGCCTGTCCACCATGGGAAGTGATCTCTGCTCTAGGAGCCCATTGGCTATGCCTGATGATTTTAGGGCTGCTTTGTTTTTGTTTTCTTCCACATTCGCTCCGTAGGCTCACTCTGGTCTCTGCTTCCAACCTGCACCTCCGCCTGTAACATCCTGCCTATGCCTCGGGTGCAGCTCCAACCTCACCTTCTTCTGGAAGCCTTGGTGATTTCTCATCTTCCTCCTTTCAGCATGCCTGGCAAACCATTGACAGCATTTCTCCATAGCCTCCATTGTATCACGTGGGCACCATCTCTGCATTTGGCTGTGATTGTTTTGAGGGCAGGGACCATCTGTTCATTTCTGTATCCTCGCAAAGCCCAGCACAGTGCTTTGAACCTCCTGTGTGTCCAGGAGGTATCTAAGGATGGGTCTGTAATCTCCACTAGATCTCGGGCTCATCCCTTAACTGTGCAGACCCGCTACAGTGCTCGAACCCGAGTGTTTCCTATAGGTTCTATAGGGAGGGAAGGAACCTGGTAGGACCCCCAACCCTCAGAGGGGCCTGGCCTGTGACATGGTGATAGAGGCCCTGCTTTGGAGAGAGAAGGGGGCCTTGGCAGGAAGAGGTGAGTCCCCAAACAGAACCATCTGGGCAGGAAGAGGGGGCAGAGAGAGAGAGAGAGAGAGAGAGAGAGAGACCAAGGAAGTAGCCTTGGAAGTTTCAAGCTATTAAGTTTAACACCTCCCTAATCATTTCACTGTTTGCAATTGGTTCTCACAGGACCCCTGGTGAGCTGGGCATTTTTGATCTCTGCTGTACATGGTAAAAGTAAGGCTTTTATCTACACCTTCCCCCCCCCCTCAGCGGGTAGGGAATTACTGGGTACCCTCAGGAGAGGCAGAACTGCAACCCCAACAGCTGGCTTCCTGGACTCCCTCCAGCTGGACCAGACTTCTGGGAAGCCGAGGAGGGAGCCATGATGGAAGAAGGTTGGGGACCGGGTGTAAGGATGGAGGGGCCAACCTAGGCCAAGCCAGTGCTGACAAGTTGATGGGTTCCAACTATGTTCCTGAAAAGAGGGGCCCCAGGGTCCTGTCACCACGAGCCCTGCACCAACCCCCTTGGCCCTGCCCACCCTCGCTCTCAGGACCCTTCTGTCCTGTAGCTGAAGTGCCAGATTGGGGAAGGCCCTGGTGACCTCCCCCTCCAGCTTCCTCTTCCCACATCCAAGGTACCCTGGGACCTTCCCTTGCCAGCAGGAGGAGGAAGCAGATGAGGAAGACAGAACCTAACACCTCACACAGAGTTGCCTAAATTGCACCCTCCACATTTCCCAGTGACAAGCAGGGGTGCTCAGAAATCAAAGAGATGGAAACATGCATGCTGCTCTTTCCCCCCAAAGTACCCCTCATTACTGTGGGTGTCCCTGAGGGTTCCCTTTAGCCCTTGGTCTCACCTCATCTCCTGCTCCTTGGAGGAGAACTCCCCTCTCCCCTGGCCAAGGACACTGTCAATTGGACGTGCTGGTCAGTGTGTATTTAAGTGCCCTTGGTGGAGGGCTCCACAAGAGAGTTCTGGGTGGCCATACGGACCCAGCATGGGCACAGGATTTGCTGCTCGTTGGAGCTGGTGACTTGGATGGTCCCTTGTGCTGGGCTGAAGCTGCAGCGGCATGCAAAGTGTGACAGCTGGCAAGGGCTGGCGAGTCACCGTGGCTGCTGGCAGGGGCTCCCGGGGCTGTCTCAAGGGGAGGCAGCTGCTGTGGCCTCCCACATTCAGGACATACTTGGGGAGCAACTTGCATCCACCATAACAACCGCTCTTGTGTTTGCCTAAAGGGGCTTGTGTGTGTGTGTTGGTGACTCCTTTCACCCTGAGGAGGTGTGTGTGTCAGGCTTCCTTTTCCTTGTGTCTTCCCCAACCCTGCCTCCCACCCTTGCTTTTAGGTCAAGAAGCTCCAACCTTGGAAATGGCAGATGCTGGAAACTCGAGACCTCAGTGACGTGTGAGTGTGTTTTGAATGTAGCACCGTCCATCTCCTGTGTAAGCACAGAGACAGGCTGTGTTGCTGCAAAGCCCTCTGTTGTCCCCCAAGAGACTGTCTTCTCGCAGAAGGCTAGCTAAGTGTAAAAGGTTGTCTTTGCTAAAACTTGCTGTTTAAACTGGCTAGAGCTTAGGCCTGCAATGGAAAAATGAAGTTCACGTTTTAAGTGCTACTTTCTTCTACGAAGATCAAATTCGTTGGAAGTTTAAATTACCCACTAAGCACTGACATTCATGCCTTTGTTATAAAAAGTGGCAGCCACGTCCAATGCTTGCCCTGTAGCAGGATCTCCCAACCCATCCAAATATGACCCTGTCTGGAACACAAAAGGCAGAGAAGCTGCAGAGAGGGGCCCTAGCTTCTTTCCAAATTTCCCTTTTCTAGGTAGAGGGGAGTAATGGTAGAGAGAGATGATGGGACAAGAAGATGGAGTACCTTTTGGTAGTTGTTCTTGGATGGACAGGAACTCTTTAGAGACACTTGGTCCCATCTCACCTGGGGACCAGTATGCCAGAATCTCAGTCACACTTAGAAAGAGTTCAGGTTAAATAAAGATTACTGCTGGGAAAATGTGAAAGGATATGAATTTTGTTTATTTTCCAAAGAGAATACAAGTTAAACAAGTTGTCATGAATGGACACAATGTTTATAGCTACTGATGATGTTGCTTGAAAGCTATATAGCTATCACAGTGGTTTTTATTTACAATGTGAGAAGACATAGGCAATAATACAGTATTTCGTCTTCTGCTTACAACACTAAAGATTATCCAATGTAGTAGGTGTGTTTTACAAATATCGTAAGGAGGTTTATTTTATTTTTAACAAATGTTATTTCGCCTTATTTTAATAAAGTTTACTACTTAAGATTATTTCTGAATCCAAATTTGTTCTACAACATGTGTTTGGTTTTTTTATGGGAGAAAGTTAAAAGGAAAGAAAAATAGGGAAAGAAATTAGACAGCATCTGTGTATTTTGGGGGGATTGGTTCCTTTTAATATCAAAAGCTTGATTTAGCTACTGGTGACATAGCTCAAAGAGATGGGCAAATGCTTTCCTCCCCCCCTAAACTCAGGGTGACCTATCAGAAGTAGAAATTTTTATTTTTTCTGCAAGCACCAAACACTAAAATTCCACACATCACTAGGACTCTATAAAAATGCATATTAATACATCTCACTATATATCTGAAAAGGACTATTCTTTAAAAGAAACTTCAAATAATCATTGTGAAATGCATTATAGAAAGAGAAGCATATTTTTTTGTGTCAAATATGATTGAAGATAGTTTCTGCCACATCAAAACTTACGAGCAGATTGGCAGAATTTTAGGCAGAGAAATAGAATATAACTAACAGATCCTCTGAGTGAGTGTGATTTAAAAAATAGCAGTGAATTAAGATATGTATATTAACACATGCAAGTTGGTGTCTGAAGGGTTGGTTTGGGGCAAAACAAAAATATTCTCTGAGCCTCCCTGAAGTTAGTAGCTAAAGCCAAATGTTCCAAAGGCTTACACTGATACAATAAAAAGAGACAATTTGCTTGGAAGGCTGTGGCTAATTTATAACACAATGTCCAATGTCATGGTTAGTTTTGTTGCAAAAATTTGGCAGTTTAACCCAGAGTCTCAGGCAGCCTGAAAAGATGTGAGCGATTCTGGCTGCAGCATCTTTCACTCGCTGGATGTTCCAAATGGTTCAAACAAGCCCTTTCATAGAGACGCGGGGCCAAGTGTGCTCAAAGGAATGAGGGGAAACAAAGGTGGCTCTGAAGTCATTTCCCCGCACTGGGTCCAGCCATCCGGTTTCACTCTTTCCCCATTGAACGGGCAGAATGCAACAGGAAGAGCAGGGATGAAAGAGAACAAACAGGCCGATGTGTTTGGGCAGAGAATGGAGAGAGGCCGGGGCGCTGAGCTGCTAAACTTTCATTTGAGGTCTTCAGAAAGGAGTGAATGATGAATTATAGAAACCTGAAAGGTAATAAAATATGGGTCACTGAAGCCCTGAGGCCAAGTTCCTAAAACACCTGCAGAGGCAGAAGCTTCTGGAAGTCAGTGCAGCCCCGCAGTTGCTGGGCAGATACCCTGCCCAAGGCACAGAAGGGGACTGTTCACAAGCTCACCTGTTGTTTTCCTCTTGGCTCCCGGTCCGGTGTTGCCCAGTGTAGAGCTAGCGCCTGGACCTGACTCCAGATTAGACCACCAGGGGAAAGAAAGGCAGTGTGCAGACTTCCCAGGGTGCAGTTAAGGAGACCGCAGCGTGGAGGCCACCGCCTTCCTCCCTCGAAGGCGCTCTGACCTGGAAATATTAACTCAATGGTGAAGACTCTTTGAGTTAAACATGTAAATCTGCTCTGCTGAAATATTTCAAGGCTTTTCTATGCAAAAGCTCAGCCTGTTTATGTCTCACAAAGAAGTGTCCTCATCCCTGGATTGGGGATAAGAGTTGGCTATACTCATTTGAGCCTCAGTTTCCTCATCTATAAAATGGGGACAATATTATTCATCTCCTAACGTTGTTATAAAGCTTAGAAGGAAATGTAAGTAAGAGGGCCAGCCCAGAGCCTGGCACATAGTGATATCTCAGTAAAATGATAACAGTAACCAATATTTATTGCATACTTAGTATGTGCCAGGTACCACAGAAGGACACTTGGTTCATGGTTTTCATTCAGACTAAAGCAGTGTTCCAGTTTGGTTTGCTTTAAGTACATGGTTTCTCTGCATCAAGCATATGGGGTTTTCTAGCTCCTTCTAGCCCCTGAATGCTATGGAGGCTCCACCCACATGGCTCTGTTTTAGAGCTGCTATCCCGGACACCATGAACCAAAATCCAGCAACTACTTGCTAGAGAAATTGTATGGATGTGAGCTCAGAATTACCCCAAACACCATCAGAGAGGGCAGCGGTGCCAACTTCAAAGCCAGACTAAACCCTGGCTCCCTCACTTACTAGCTGTGTGACTTGGGACAAGACACTTAACCTGTCAGTGCCTCAGTTTCCTCCCTTTGCAAAACAAGAATGAAAATAGAACTTACAGGCTTCTGGTGGAGATAGAATGAGTTGCTATGTGGAAGGCACTGAGAACAATGCATGGATACAGTGTTAACTGTTATTATCAGTTTATTAACCTTTGTTATGAGTTGATTGTGTCCTCCGAAAAATTCATGCTGAAATCCTAACCCAGGCACCTCAGAATGTGACTTACTTGGAAGTAGGGTTGTTACAGGTGTAATTAGTTAAGATGAAGTCATTAAGGTGGGCCTCCAATCCAATATGACTGGTATCCTTAAAAAAGGGGGAACTTTGGACACAGACACTGGCACAGGAAGAACGCCGTGTGAAGACAAAGGCAGAGATCCCGGTGGTGCTTCTACAAGCCAAGCAACACCAAAGACTGTCAGCGATCCCCAAACGCTAGAGGAGAGGCCTAGAGCAAATTCTCCCTCATTATCCTCAGAAGGAACCAACCCTGCCAACTCCTTCATCTTGGAATTCTGGTCTCCAGAACCATGAGACAATAAACGTCTGTAGTTCAAGTCCACCCAGCCTATGGAACTTGTTTATGGCAGCCCCAGGAAGCTGAGACAGCCTCCGCCTGACTCCTCTTAAGAATTAGAGCCCAGGCTCTGTGGCGAGACCCTCAGGGCTCAAACCCAGCCTTGCCACATCCAGGTTTATGACCTTGGACAGATTCCTTAACCTCCCTGTGCCTGAGTTATTCATCTGTAAATGAAGGTCATGAATATATTGATACCTACCTCACGGGTGCTTTTAGAAGCAAGGGTCAGATGGGTGTCCGGCCCACCATCGTGTCGGCTGCTCTGTGTAGCTTGATTGGTTTCCAGGGACAGAGTCTGGAGGCAGAACTCTGCTCCAGGCAGAACTCTGCTCAGATTACCTGGGGGTCTTGTTAAGATGCAGATTCTGGTTTGGTTTGAGTGGGGCCCGGGATTCTATATTTCTAATAAGCTCCCAGATGAAGCCAATGCCAGGTGGATGACTACACTTCAAGCAGCACTTAGATCATTGCACCTGGTCCCAACAGGATAAGGAGCCTGAGTTTTAAAAGAAGCCCTCTTCCCATACCCATGCCACTCAGGCACACGCATATTCAATGGAGTGTTCAGCCACGATTGAAGAAAGAGCAAAGTCGTCTTCAGAGAAAAGGATGAGGAAATGAACAGAGGCCACCACCCTACATCAGGGAGGGCTGTGTGTTGACAAGGAGACAGGTTCAGATGGATGAGCCCGAGACCTGGGATTTGTCCTGCCCCGGGGAGGACGGGGCTGGCTGGGTGAGATGTGGAGGATGAAGAAGACGTGCTGGGAACATGGGCCACGCCCGTCCTTCTGTGGGGACTTTGACTCCGCTGTTCTCTCTGCCTGGAAGCTTCCACCCAGACATTGCTGAGGTCTTAGTGAAGATGTGAGCCCCTAAAGAGGACTGCTCCCCACTGGTTACTCTGTGGTATCCTCGCTGCTTAATTTTCTTCTTGGCACTTAGCAGCAGCTGGAACCACCTGGTCACCTGCTTGCCTACTGGTTTAGATGTGTCTGTTTCTCGGCTCTAGAGAGTACGTTTCGTGGAAGTCCTGTTCTTGGCCGGATCCTCAGTGCCTTGGACAGGGCTGGTCCCTGAACTGGTGCTCAATAAAGACTTGAATGAATGAATGAAGATGAAGAATCTAGACTGACCGACTAGAGTTCACAGAATGCTCTCTGTGTGCACAGCCCTGTGCCAGGCCCTGGGAGAAAGCGAGGCTCCCTGCCGTCTAGGAATGCTTAATCTGCTGGAGGATATGAAGTGTGCCTGTGTGAACACCTGCCCAGCAATAGCAGGTTACCCAGAAGAGCCAAATAATGACACCGACAAGGGGAAAAGCCTACGTGTGGGGCGCCAGGGGAGGTAAGCAGAGCTGCTGTAGACCAGAGCACACCAAGCACCCAGGACCTTGTTAAAATGCAAAGTCTGGAGTCCAGTTCAGTGGGTCCGCGTGGAACTCAAGATTCTTCATTTTGATCAAGTGCCCAGGTGCTGCTGCTGCTCTGAGGACCACAGTTTTGGGGACAGCGAGGCATTACTTTCGAGGTTTGGGTGAAAGAGAGGTTGCTTGCAGCTGAGGCATCCTGGAGGGGCGTTTGACAGGATGAGAGGGTGGGGGATTTGAGAAGGGGACGAGCAGAGGGTGGAGTCAGGCGAGGAGGGACGGACCGCAGAGAATGGGAACAGGAGGGAAGGCCAGGTGAGGAGGCTGGAAGAATGGAGGGGTCATGCAGGGAAACCGCCCCCACCCACCGCCACCGTGACAGGCAGCCTCCCTGCAGTCTTGTTTTTAAAAGCAGTTCCTAGAAGGATTGAGACAGCAGTACATTGCCTTCCTCTGGTCTGTCAACGATCAGTCAGAACATGTTTTCAGAAATGTTGCAACCTGAGATTGCCCCACAAGGTGCTGTGCAGGCGCAGAGCTAGCTCCGCTCAACATGCACTGTCAACTCTAAGCAGCTGTGCCGGGGGTGTTTCCTGTGCATGAACAGCCCCGCACTTAGTTTTTGCAAACCACTTTCACATCTGCTTTCTCATTTTTAGCCTTATGAAATCCCTACAAGGCTGAGAGGGCAACTGCCCATTTTGCAGGCGAGGAAACTGAGGCCCAGAGAGAGTCAGGGGCCAGCCCAATACGGATGCAGAGCCCAGACTAAGACAGACAGAGAAGAATGTTCTCTGCATCTTTCATGCCGTGCCTCTTGCCTTGTGCTCATAAGTGTTAATATGCGTACAGGATTGGAGACCACAGCTCTTTGATCGGAAAAACCTTCCCAGGAATTTCGTGGAATGATGATCTCTTGATCACCAGAGTTTTCTTGCCAGGATGGTACAGTCAAGCCCAACGGTGCTGGAATGCCAGAATATTCTCGAATCTCCTGGGGGTGGGCTTGGCCGCCTGTCACGTCAGCTCCCCCCACCATTGAGAGGGACAGGGGTGCAGCTGTGACAACTGGCACTGCTTCCCATGTCACACGGAGCGAAGGGCAGGGCCGATTTCATGCTCCTTGTCCCCTAGTGTGACCTTTACTATCCTGGCGCATGGCAGCTGCTTGTCTCTGCACGAGGGGGCAGGAAGTATTATGTTGTTGTTAATAACACTCAAGAAGAGCAGTAACACCATTATTAACTCCCTTGATCCTTCCTGATTTTAACCATGGATCCATTTAAGTTACACGGAGTGTTTAGGGCACAGTTTCATTTGCTTTGACAGAGCAGGGACTTGCTTGCATTGTTAGACTGTTGCCAAGAAAGCAGGATTCGTGTGCCCTTTGTCAAAGGGGAGAATTAAGGTAGCTGTCACTCTCCAGGTCTAGAATTCGGGCGCACCGAGAGTCGCAGAAATGAGTATTAGCCTGGATCAACACTGTGCTACTAGCAAGGCCTGGACCTTCCCAGGTCTCCCCGCCCTGGGCTTGGGTCCAGCCAGCTGGGCCACCCTTCTCTGGCTTCTGCTTGGTTTCCTCTGTTCCAGGCCTGCCTGCTCGGAGCTGTTGTAGCCTGATGGGCAGAGGGGGTCACTGCTGCTGGAGAGGCCCCTGAAATGCCCTCGGGGTACAGCTCTTCTGGACACACAGACACACACCCCTTATGCTGCCTCTAGCCCACCCTCCGTAGCGCGGCTTCAGGCCACGGTCACGGGTTGCAGTGTACACAACACACTCAACACAGACAACCCAGACTCCCCCCTCGCCGCTGTCTCCTCCAGCGTCCACGGCCAGTTTTCAGTTTTGCTCTTTCCATCCCTTCGCCTTTCCAATCTCTCTGCTGTGCTCTCCTTTATTCTACACATTAATTCAGCACATTCCCAGCGCCGGTGCCCAAACTTGTCTGCCCAAACCCATCCCCTCGCCCTGTATCGACAGGGTCACCCTCCTCAGGAGAGTTGTTTGCACACACCCTGCGACGCATTCCTGCCTTCTAGCCCAACAAGCGCTTTCCCTGGGGGCACTTCTGGCGAGGGACGTTCTCTGTATCTTATTACACTGATGGTACGAGCCGCCTGCAGTCCAGAGGAAGGGAGGCATCGTGAGCTGGCGACACCCCAACAGGTGCCCACTCTGTAGACCCTTCATCCGTTCATGCTCAGTGTCCTGCCCTGTCCTCCCCCGGGACTGTAGTGTCAACGGGTCCCCAGCCTGGCCGAGCTACCCCTCGGTAGGACTCAGAGGACCCACATTTCCCACGTTGCTCCCTTTTCTACCCTCCCTGTTCTTGGCTGGCTGCTGTGCAGGTGTTGGAAATAGCAGCCCACGTCGAGGCTACGCGGTGGTTGCACGTCTGTGGGACACTCTGTGCCGAGTGGGGAATGAAGTGATCAGCCGTGTTACAGCCTGATGGTCAAACCCCGACGTCTCCAGTTCTCTGCGGTCATGGTCTGAACCGGAGCTGCCGCTGGACGCCCCAACTCAGGCCACCTGCACTGGGCCCGCGCTGTAGAGGCCACACTCAGGCCTTGTCTGGCTGTCCCTCTCCATGGGCGAGGTGTACACAGGGCCAGGGGACGTGTCCACCCAGACCTCGCCCCCCTCCCGTGCACGTGCATGAGGCCTGCAGCGCAGGACAGAGCTGGGGTGGGGAGAGAAGAGGGACGGGATGCAGGACGTGGGGCCCTATTTCCGCTCTTCCTTCTGGGTCCCACAATATTAGGACTGGCATGGTTGGACCCTTCAGTTTTTTTTTTTTTTTATTTTGAGACAAAGTCTCACTCTGTTGCCCTGGCTAGAGTGAGTGCCGTGGCATCATCCTAGCTCACAGCAACCTCAAACTCCTGGGCTCAAGCGATCCTCCTGCCTCAGCCTCCCAAGTAGCTGGGACTACAGGCATGCGCCACCATGCCCAGCTAATTTTTTTCTATGTATTTTTAGTTGTCTGATTAATTTCTTTCTAATTTTAGTAGAGACGGGGTCTTGCTCTTGCTCAGGCTGGTTTCGAACTCCTGAGCTCAAACAATCCGCCCGCCTCGGC